ATATTTACCTAATTCAAGACCCAAGAGCCACTCAAAGTAGAGGGTTACTGTGTAATGTATTGTATGAGCGTCAGAAAAGGCAAGAAGTGCAGCTTATGAGGCTCTGTATGTAGGAAAGATCGCGGTTCACCTTTAGAGATGAAAATTGTTCTCTTTCTGTCAAATTGTTTTTATTTGTTTGTGAACGCTTCCTATGTGGTGGTAGTGGTGGAGTGGAATAAAATTATAATTTCTAAAATTATACTTCTTTATTTTAGTATTATTTTAATTGCAAATGAATATGTGCTTACAAAGTCACGGGCTGAAATTTTGCAAAAACTAAACCCAGAAAAAATCGTTAATCTGTTGAACTTTTTCAAGGTTTCTTTTTATTTTATATTGGGTTGGTGCATAATTATCAGGCGTTTTTGTAGGCGAATTATTTGTTAATAAAAATTGCAGTTTTGATTACTTTTCTAATAAAAATATTTTATTTTCAGGTTATAAAAATGCGTGTCGATAATCATATTCGTTTAGAAATGTTATTGTTGAATTGTTGTTTTTTTTTTCATAATAAATATTGTTTAAAACGCCTGATAATTATGCACCAACCCTTAAGATCGGATTGAAATGTGATACTGGTACTCTTCCCCTATAAATATAACACATTTGAACACATGCACGCATACATAGACACATGTATGCGCGTATTTTATATATACATGCCAACACACACACACATATATATATATATATATATATATATATATATATATATATATATATATATATATATATATATATATATATATATTATATATATATATATATATATATATATATATATATATATATATATATATATATATATATATATATATTATATATATATATATATATATATATATATATATATATATATTATATATATATATATATATATATATATATATATATATATATATATATATATATATATATATATATATATATATATTATATATATGAAAAAATATACAGAAATTTTAAAAACGTATCTATGAACACAGAAGGGTCCTCGAAATAATAATTGCACAAATACCCTAGTTATTCAAAGAAATAAATTCGAACACAATTTTTATATAAAAAAAAATGGCATACTCATCAAAAAAGTAATTTTTACTCAGATGGAAAATCCTCGAGAGTGCCGCCATTGAATATTATCAAAATATAAATCTACGCCCCGGTTTTTCCTATTCTCACCTTTCCTAGAAGAATTACTACTTTTCCAAGCCAACATACAGTACAAATATATTGAAAAATCAAAAGAAAACGGCTAAATCCATCACTTCAGCTTTTGAAGACGTATGACACGAACATCCATCTCATAATTTAATCAAAACAATATTCTTAAAAAAAAAAAATTCAAAAAAAGAGAAAGAAAAAATATAAATATTCTTTTATGGGGATGCTAAGTGATGTAATCTGATCTCTAATACCTAAACATTTCAGTTAACCTGATGAATATTCATGAGCGTCTTTAAATTTAAAAATTTTGACTAAGTGACAAATAGATAGATACTTGTTGCAAGATAAAATCCGTCAGATGATGAAACGCGTAGGCTAAGACTAAAGTCTCTTGTCTGTTTTATTGTCTTTTCTACAGATACACTCCAAGAATATTTACGCACACACACACACATATAATACTATGCTAACAAGTAAATTAATGATAGTTTGATTAATTGGCATAAATATTTCTGATTGAAATGAAAAATGCTTTTCTTTACACTAAAAACTACAAATTTTTTCATTTGTACTTACGGAAAAAAATTAAACCTTTTAATTAATTTCATGTTCGATACTTTCAAAGATATTACCGCTGTGATATTAAGTTAAGTCAAATGATAATGTTATCGTAAATCATGATAAACAAAAGCCGCTAAAGCGCTTTTATTTTTTTTAACCTGAAAGGTATTCAGCATTTTTTTCTTTATTTCTTTTCGATTATTTTGCATATATTTCTTCATGTGTATTTTTAATATTTTCAAATATTAATATTATTACTAGCAATATTTTTTAATATTAATAATTAGAGGCAAACTTAAGTTCTTAAATAAATTTAAGGTACAAATGTGTCTGTGTGTTCGCATTTTTTATGCGTGATAGATTTTCATTTCCGCTGGGGGACGTTTTTTGGGGACTTAAATTCTGTGTGTGTGTGTGTGTGTGTGTGTGTGTGTGTGTGTGTGTGTGTGTGTGTGTGTGTTTTAGAAACCGTATATCGACACAGTTATTTTATTTTTTACGCCTTTTTTAATTTACTTCATTGGTTAATTTCGAAAAATAATTTCTTTCGGTACCTGTGTAGTCACTGTCGTCATCATAATTATATATATATATATATATATATATATATATATATATATATATATATACAGAGATAGATATATTATTTACCTAACGTGTTCTTTCTATATATTTACACACACACACATATATATATTATATATATATATATATATATATATATATATATATATGTGTGTGTGTGTATATATATATATATATATATAATTCCGATTTCTTTTTGAATTTGTACATATTTTCCGATTGTTTTTTTTGAATTTATATGTCTGATTAATTGGATCGCGATTACAATTATTCCAATGTAATAAATTAGAACCACGGAATATTATTGTTTGTTTGAGCCTATTCTTGCTCTGTCCTGGACATTGAACTCTACCTGGATTCTATCCTCTTGAAATTATATATATATATATATATATATATATATATCTTTCTCAACCTTCCCAACTTCCTCCTCTTAGTGAATGAAGCCAGCCAAGCTCATTCCCTATGCAAAATAAAATAAAATAAATAGTAAAACGAATCCAAGAAAACGCAACTGCCAGTCAAAAAGACGAACGCATAAAACATAGCTTCGTGAAGAAAAGTGGGAGGAGCTAGCATTTAATGTTATGCCCATTGATTGGCTAGTATCAGAATGGGCGGGACAACAAAGATATGAAGTCGGGCCACAAAAATCCACAAAGAATCAGATAACCACGCCTTCCAGAACTGTGTGAATGGCTGCGACGCTTGTCCTTGTAGAATGGCCTCATTTCTCTGTCCCCTAAACTTGCTTTTTTTTTTTTTTCATTCAAGGATTTTTTCATGCATTTTTTGTCAAGTTGTTGTTTTTTCTTTTTTACCAATTTCACTATTTGCATTGCGGAAAGGCTCACAAACAACCAACCACTTAGCAACGATAGTGTGTATAGGTCATACATGCTGTTGTGGTGCGTTCGCCTCAGTGTGTGTGTGTGTGTGTGTGTGTGTGTGTGTGTGTGATATAAGTGGCGGTGCATATGTTTTGGTGTTTGTGTATGTTTACGTATATCCGCGCGCACACACACACACACACACACACACACACACACACACACACACACACACACACACAAAGTGTCTGTGTAAGTCAGAATCTTACATCAAATAATTATTTTTCAACATAATCTATTTTCTTGTCAATGCACTTAATTTATCGGATAAATATTTATCGCATAGACCGAACATTAAACTTGAAATTTTGAGACTAAAATTCAGTTAGTAACTATTATTACTCTATATATTAAATTTTAAATTGTACTTTTTTGTACTTGAAACATTTTTTAGCCGTCAGTTATTGTATTTACACCATATTACTATATTCGTTACATTTTCAAAATATACCGTTAAAATTTCGACATTGATTACTTTCCTTTATATATTACTTATTTCCGTTTGCTGTGATCTAAATTCTAAGGTGGTTACTACGTGACAAGCTACGAACTTGTTGATCTACCTTCGTATAAACACACACGCACAAAATTATTGAAATTTATTATTTAGTGCTTCTTGGTCGCTACTAATAAAACATTAAAATGAAAATATTTATGATAAATCAGACGAAAATTCAACTGTTTAATTCCTATTTGCGACTTAATTGCTATGGAAGAAGAAATTTTCATTGTTATTTAATACTAATTTTGCTTACTAATGTTATTTATTATTTAATGTATGTACGATTATCCCTTTCTTTGTTGTTATTTTTTATTTTTATCAATTCACCCCAAGTAAGGCGATAATGCCACTAAGATGAAAGAGGCTACTGCGATTGAAAGAAAATTAGAAGACTTTAGAAGGAACCGGAACCCCAATTCTAAACAGAGAACAAGGGATAAAATTCTACTCCTATTTAAAAGATCGCACAACGTTTCGGCCTTTGTACCCTCCGGCTTTCATCAGGTGATCGTCAATCTGGGTAACCTGTAGGGAATCTCGAACTAAACCCTTTATTCAATCAATGCTTTGTTAGGTTCTCGATGTCGATATCTCGTCGAATTCTTATTTTCACACACAATGTAACTAAACTTGTAATTACTATGCCCACCAAATTCCTGAACCAATGCTTTAATCCACTAGGCTGTTGTTCCATGGGACAATTCTGAGTGCAGAATATTCAGCCTCACCTGCCCGTAGATAAGGGTTAATGGAGAACATAGTCTGCGTATGAATTAATTTAAATAACTCGACTTCACAGAAATTCAAACAGAAGTTAACGTCATTTATATATAGTTTTCATAGACTTCCTAAATCGAAAAATATCTTATTAATTTTTGTTTTTTTAATGGATGGATCTTCAGGGTGTAGATGATTGTGGCTCTCCACGTCTTTTATTTTATTTATTTATCTGAAGAATTGCTATGACTTTAGAAAAACAGTGGAGTAAGATTCCAGTTGCCTTCTACACAAATTTGAGTTCGGGAATAGTCATTTTACAACAGTGGCTACCACCCGAAGTCAGTCTATGCTGTTGTTAACACGTAGCTGTGGAAGGAGATGGAGTTGGGATGATAAATGTGAAAGCGGGTGCAAAAGACGAGACAATGATTTGAACTCGGCTCGCGATGAGAAATACATAAATCTTACATCGTAATCAGTATTTATGAGCACAAAAATATGTCATCAATTATTACAACCTGTCCCATAATTGTTACATGAGCAACACGCATTCCATGCACGAAATCTTTTATTTCGAACCGTCGGACAAATATAACGTAAGCTTACTTACACACACACACACACACACACACAGACACACACACACACACACACACACACACAACTACATAAAAGTTCAGGGAAAATTAAACACCGCTCACAAACTGAATGTAGTACGTATTTTTGCCACTGCACTTTATGTATACATATATTCTTATTACATTATGTATACGTACATTCACTTACGTGCTAATACCATTGGGAAAGGTATGAATCCTCTTCTTCCCCCCCCCCTCCAGCTATGAGTAAAGAGCAGAACAGACCGGGTTCTGTAGCCCTGGATGGCAATTGGTCTACCGTAGAAAGAAATGGCAACCTACTGCGGGAAAAAATTTGCCTCGTCAGTCATGTATCGAAAGGTACATGATCGCCTAAGTGCGTATCAAGCATGGCACATAAAGTGGCACTTTATGAGCGTCTGAATAACGTCGCTTTTATGGCGTCATAGCTTCTCGGCCTTTTGGCTAAGATCAAAGTGTAGTATCTCTTATCAGTTCAATCTAATTCTTTCTCTCCACTTCTACCTTTATTTTATTTTGCAGATATGATTTTTTTTTTTTTTAGATATCACACGAAAAAAAACTCACGCAGTATCATTTTTATCATAACAAACCGGAGACGCAAGTCTGATTTTCACTCTCTCTCGCTCTCTCTCTATCTATCTCTCTCTCTCTCTATATATATATATATATGAAGAAAAATATACGGAAAAAACAAACAAAAATCCTTATATGCAATTATGCTGTTTTAATGTTAATATGTCAACGTCGGGCGTTTCGGTCTAATAAACCATCTTCAGGACATATTCATAAAATATAATTAATCTTATAAAACTTTCAGTTATCTGTTTGGATAAGTATTGTTCTTGTGTCCATCGTCTTTGTCATGTTGAATTGATAATGTTAATTATATTTTATGAATATGTCCTGAAGATGGTTTATTAGACTGAAACGTCTGACGTTGACATTCTATTAACATTAAAACAGCATAATTGCATATAAGGATTTTTGTTTGTTTTTTCCGTATATTTTTCTTCATACTGTCGGATCTATATCCATATATTTTTACATTATATATATATATATATATATATATATATATATATATATATATATATATATATATGATATTTTGCTGTATTTATATACACACATATATAGTGATCCATTCATAGACGCTGTCTTCGTTCAATATACGGTTATACATTGCAGAACAAAATCTCTAACCCTGATCTTTTCATCAAATATGGCATCGGTGGTATCGAATCCTTTCGGATGCAGAGTTCAGATGGGCTGGTCATGTCATCAGAATGACTGATGATCGGATGCCAAAAATTGTCATATATAGCCAACTGTTCATGGTAAGCGTAATGTAGGCGCTCCTTGGTTATGCTTCAAGGACAAACTCAAGTACAATTTAAATGCTGCAAAAGAATCGACTCAACCATCTGAGAGAATTAAGAACCAACACTAAATCTCGGATTAATACATCAGCCCATATGACGGTCAACTCTTCAGTATGTTCTTAGTGTGGATTTCTTTGCAAATCACGTGCAGGATTTTTGTCTCATACGAAACATAAAGATAAAAACTGAACTGAAATACACTCAGTCCATTATATATATAATCCACAGACAGACTGTTTCGCTGTATCACAGCTCATAGGGTGTGGCTAGACATCCGATCGCTTCCAGACCGATTTGACATCAGTCAGAGATTCTACCCCACAAGCTATCGTCGCACGGCAGAGTGGAAGGGAAATTTCAACGTTTTTATTATGCGAAAAGACGTCAGCAGCTAGGAGAGCTCGATTCGAGTAGAAGAGCGTTGCATTAGCAGCAGCAGCCACTGTTTATAAAATCACCCCTTCCTCTCCGAGACTTCAATCGAACTATTTCGATAGCATATATATATATATATATATGTATGTATAGGGTGGGACAAAAGTAGTATACACTTTAAAGACTTTTTTACATTTTATTACATTTATTTATTACAATTACATTCGTTTAACGCTGTTTAATCTTGCAAGTGCTCGAAATGTCCTCCTTCAACTTTACAACATTCCTAGAATCTCTCTAGAACACTGTGACACACAATACGACATATTCCGATTCGTGTGGACGTTTTGGGACCGTTGGCAAGAGAGTCAGAGCGACTATCCTCTCATTTTCTCCATTCAAAGGACGTCCAGATTTCGGTGCATTAACCACTGAATCGTTTTTTGTGTTTGTTTTTTCAAATTTATCTCTCCTTATACGATAAATTGTCACCCGTGTTGGTTGAACTATGTCAAATGTTGCTCTCGATTCTTTGCTTACCTGCTCGGCATTTGCAATCTTCCAATACTGCTTTAGAATACATTTTCTTTGTTCTCAACTCAAATTATTTGCCATGATTCACAATACTTGTAAAAAAAGAAAAAATCACGTCAGCATATAAATAATTAAAGAACTGTATATCTACCTTTGGCCCACCCATACACACACACACACATATGAGTTTGTCTGATGATTTCAAAAGAGTGAAACCTAGGATCACAAACTCATATCCATATAACTATAACTGAAATTGAGCGCTTTCCACTAAGTCCGCGCATATAAAATAATATATATATATATATATATATATATATATATATATATATATATATATATATATATATATATATATATACTGGCTGTAACAGGAAAAATTGTTCACTTGTTAGATTGAGCTTTGAACCGCTGTACATATGATTAAATATATCTTATTGGAATTCTCCGAGGTTTTTATAACACTACTGGACTCTACTTTAAACAATAAGAATGTATTTAGCTGTAAGTTGAAATTGAGCGCTTTCCACTAAGTCCGCGAATATAAAATTAATATATATATATATATATATATATATATATATATATATATATATATATACTGGCTGTAACAGGAAAAATTGTTCACTTGTTAGATTGAGGTTTGAACCGCTGTACATATGATTAAATATATCTTATTGGAATTCTCCGAGGTTTTTATAACACTACTGGACTCTACTTTAAACAATAAGAATGTATTTAGCTGTAAGTTGAAAGTTCAAATATATTATCCCAGGATCATTTCCCAACTTATTCAAGATGATCTTCACCCTTTTTAACCTTCTAACTTTCTGTCCTGGAGTAACAAGTTTCCTCACACGTTTCACGTACGATTTCATTTTCAAGTCTTTTTTCCACTGCTCTTTGCACTGTCATAGATGAAACTCCTCTCTCGTGTGCCAAATGTGGGATCTTTTCCAATTGATCTCTTTAGCTCTGAGTTGAAATGATGATCCCTCTTCCTGTTGTGACCTCCTGATCCAGTTTTCCTCTCTACTGTTCCCTCTTCTTTAAACTTATTCACCGTTCCCTTGATGGTTCTCGAATGGACTTTGAAGATGAAAGCAAGAGTTGAATGTCGGTACCATTACTGATGGCCATTGCTCAGTTGTGAAGACAGTGGGGATGACACGAAACGATTTTAACCTGTTCTCTTTCTCGCTGAATAACTCAAAGGGTTTTTTCAGTGATTCTTACAACAAATGATGCCAAGATAGCTAAATGTCTTATCTAAAAACCTGGAGAGAAGAAATTCAATTAGTTTAGTAGTTTTTTCAGATATTAAACATTTTGTGGGGTGGACAATTATCACATGCTGTTACACAACATGGTCAATTTTGCTGTTACAAGATATATATATATTCTAACTAGAGCCCGTCGTTCTGAAATTGACAACTTGGTCGAACAATTTTCGGCTACACTGGCTACACGCCAGACGTCTTCCCCACTCCGCAACCTATAACTCTCTTCATCTATGTTTACAATCTTGCTGCCCCACTCATACTACTAATAATAATAGACCGGCCTTACGATTTTACGCCGATCAAAATTTTAAATTTAAGTTTATTTTCATAAAAGGTTCGCACAGTGAGGAATCAGACAGAGATCGGGGTTTTTTCTAATAATGTTATCTCCACCAGAAAATACACCGTCCACAAAACATCTGTCGCTGAGTAATTCCCTTTCTCTGTTTATTTCTCGCTCCGTTGATGAAGGACACAGGCGTGTCCGAAAATTCCGAAGTTAATACCTTTCTTTCCGTGCTTCATTTCTGTCATATGATTAGTAATTAATATTTAATAAATGTTTTTTCGTACTGATTATATTGGTATCCTTTCGTTTGTCCTTGTTTTATTAACTAACCTATCTATTTTACGCACACACACAAACATATATATATATATATATATATATATTGTACTCAGTTTTATTTAAAATTATGTTAATCAAACTGGCATCGCCCCTTTCCTCTCGGTTAGGTAACCAGGGTACGGCATTTCCATTTCACTTGCCTTATTGACGTGTTTTCATTAGAAAAATGCATTAGAAACGTTTACAATTCAATTAATTGATATTTTTTTCTTTTCACATCACCTCCACTTAATTATCAAAGAATAATTAGACGTTGAAATTAACTGTGTCATCGATTTATTTAAGTGGTACAATCAATATTTGTGTAGCCTTTTCAGAACGAAAGTCTGCATTGTTATTTTTTCTCCTGGCCTTATAAGGATCTTCTAGTTTTTGTGTGCATTAATGTAGCCCTTCTCAAGAGACGGACTCTTGCCATGGTGCAATAGTAAGCAAATTAGTTTTGCAGACCCTAGTATCATGAGTTCGGCACTCCTGCTGGCCTTGTACCAGATTAAGCTACGCAAATAATAAACATTGTTAAGAATGAGACCATGACTAAAAAATCTGTCTACAATCACTCTATTTCTTTCTCTTGTAATCTCTTGCAATCGCCTGATGAGATGCGTTGATACGCATCGAAACACGACTGCAATTGTGTAGCGATTTTGACAGGTTTTTCAATGTAATATCCCAAAATAAAGAATATTGCTCTACTTTGTATTGAGTCCTCTTTTAAATTAAATGTTACGGACGTTGGAATTTTACTCTATTCGTTCTCATCTTACCTGGATATATATATTGTCGTGACCAAGTAAATGGTTAAGTAATAACAAAAACCAGGTTTGCAGATACATCGTATATTAAAGAGTAATTACACCAGAAGAGTATTACATGACTAATGAGAGTTTATTGAATAAACTAGCGCTCAATCTATTCACAGTTCACTGTCCACTGTTCGCCGAACCTTCTCTCCTACTAAACTTATAGTAGGTGGAAGTGTCTAACATAGACTCTTAGAGGGAGAACACCACAACATATATATATATATAATCTCTCTTTTTACCATTCTCTTTTTATCTATATCTTCATCTACCGCTCTCTTTTTACCCCTCTCTCTATTTATATCTCGGTCTCTATCTACATCTATCTCTCAATCGATATATAAGGAATCTATTTCGATCTATCTATCTATCTATCTATCTCCCTCTCTTCACCTATCTCCCTCTCTTCACCTCTCTATCTATCTACCTATCTATCTCCCTCTCTTCACCTATCTATCTATCTATCTCCCTCTCTTCACCTATCTATCTATCTATCTATCTATCTATCTATCTATCTATCTATCTATCCATCTCCCTCTCTTCACCTATCTATCTATCTATCTATCTATCTATCTATCTATCTATCTATCTATCTCTTCCAAACATAAAAAGACCCACTTTTTCATTCTAACAAGCTTACATACTCATGTGTGTCTGATTTTTCACTGTCGATTTTATTGTTTGTGCGCATTTTCTCGCCTTGGCTATAAAATATTTTTGGTCACGCCTGGTGGATTGTAAATCTATTTTGATATTAGTGCTGAGAAAAAAATTCCTCTGATTATAAGTAATTTTTTCTTTCTCACACAAAATGTGACAAGCTGAGTGTTTCCCAAGCCAAATGGATTGTGTCATCCAGTGTGAGAATTCCTGAGTTACGTTCCACACTGCGAAGAAACAATTGTAATATTCCCCTGACTTCTCCATTACAATAAATATATAAAATTAACTGATTTTGTTAGGTGCGCATTTTTTTTTTTTTTTTTTTTTTTTTGGTCACCTCCTCAGTTTCAATCTTTATTTTTGTCGCAAAAACTCATAGAATTCTTGAACAATCTTTTAGAAAATACCCTTGTGAAAGGTATGAATTCATCTCATCTCCCCTACCAGCAGTGGGTAAATAGCAGGACAGACTCGGTTCTATAGCCTTGGGTGACAATAGCTATAGCCTTCTGAATAGTTTTGACGGCCCAATTTCACTCACAAGACTTGAGTCAACTCACAGTATACTTTTTTAGGAGCTTTTCGGTGTTACATTGTATTCGATTTTCACCGAGTGCTCCACATGCGAGGCCTTGTGCCAGTCTAGTCTAAACTTTATAAATACCTAGAGGACTGAACTTGATCTCTCTCTCTCTCTCTCTCTCTCTCTCTCTCTCTCTCTCTCTCTCTCTCTGGAAACTAATCAGTGCTTTGTTGGACGCGGGGTGGGATCTGCTTTCCTTCTACTCTTTCAAGTCTTTCCTTTATTTAACAAAACCATTTATCCACTGCCAAAACGCAGACTCCTCAATTGATTGATGAGAGCTTTTTTGACAGATCCTTCCCCCCTGCGACTGTCATCACCAATCACCTAGGATAATCGCTCTGAGTCTGTCCACACCTTTTCTCCATCCCACTTGACTCATGGGATAAAAATGAAGAACAGGTCATTTTTTTTACTTTCTTTCTACCGCGCACACCTCCACACACATATTCTCTCTCTCTCTCTCTCTCACACACACACTCTCTCTCTCTTTCTCTCTCCCACTTTCTCCCTCTCTCTCTCTACCCCTCTCTCTCTACCCCCCTCTCTCTCTCTATCTCTTTGCTCAAAAGTCCGCAGTGCGTTTCAATTGCATGTAGCTAATTCATTATAACGTCCGTTTGTGTCATTTACAACACTGTTAGTTGGCGCAGATCTCTAGGAAGCTTGATATTTTCAAAGCCTGAATACATACAAGCCGACAAGTGGTATGTCTTTGTTAGAAACATTGACTAAGTGTTTGCGTGACAGTTGCCCGATCCAGGTGGCGCGTCGCAAGTAGAGACGGGATAGTATAGCTGATTGAGTTACTCCTAAACGGGGCCTAAAAACAGATAAAAAAAACAAGAAAATTCCATTTGGAACTAAGTACATGCGTTACTTAATATACAGAGGAATTGGTTACCTTTGTCTATAATCAACAGTTATTAATGTGACTGAGTTTTTTTTTTGGGGGGGTGCGTGTGTTAAACTTGCAATGTACATCGTACATATATGCCAGTTTGCGTGCGTTAAAAAATAAAACATGACATTTTTTTTTTTTTTTTTTGCATTATCTATTTCTTAGCTGCACTAATGACTGGAATACAAGCTCAAGTAAAACCAATCTGAACGCTGATTTTCAAAGCAATCAGACCCTCTGATATGCCGATTCGATAATTTCTGAAAGTTACCAATATTTACACGCGGACTATTGTCCTCATCTAAATAAATTAGACTCTCTACACTTTGAAGTTTTGGTGCTATATAATCTTCTAACTCAACCTCACTTCTAATATGACTCTGTGCAGCACACGTCATTTCAATCAGTTATGTGCCATGCGTGATACACGCTTACGCGATCATGAGGCAGATGTTTTCCTGTGGTAGACCAGTTGGCATCCAAGGCTATAGAACCCGCTATTTATCCATAGCTGGGGGGGAAGAAGAGGATTCATACCTTTCCCAAGAGTATTAGCACATAAGTGAATGTAATGGATCCGACTGGAATTCGAGCTCTCCGATTTCTCAATCCTAGCCGCTATTCCTTTCTCCACCATATCAGCACACGTATAACACCGATTTTTCCGATACCGTTGATTCCGGAACCGTGCCGCATTATCTGTTTTGCCGGATCAACAGAAGACACGTAATAACAATTCAGTAATACACCTATGGCCAACTCATTGTGCATCTCTTGTATCTCTGCTGCATCATTGACTATTAGAAACATAAACTGTTATTAAATACAATGCCACCTAGAGCTGCCCTGAGATTAGACATGGCAATCACGTAAAATTTAAATGCTTGCTCTTGATTTTATCTGGATTAAAATATACATCTGGTTCAGTTGCCGAAACATCAGTGGCATATGTGTGCTGAACAAATATCGATACAAACGAGGTTTTTGATCACGGTTAACGGACCCTTATTCCGGTTGGTCAGTCAAGTGTCATACGTGATACATGCTTGGGCGATCATGCTTTTTTCGATTCATGACTGACTAGGCAGATTTCTCGCGGTAGGTTACCGTTTTCTTTCTGAGATAAACTGATTGCCAAACAAGGCTATAGAAACCAGTCTGTTCTGCTATTTACCCATAGGCAGGGAACAAATGGATTCATACCTTTCCCAAGAATAGTTGCACTTAAATGAGTGTAACAAACTCACATGGAATTCGAACCCGGCTCTACGATTTCTCATTCCGAGCCGTTAGATTACACCACTCCGCACATTTCGGTTGGCGCAAATCATAAAAGCTGCGGTTTTGTATATTGCCCTATCGGCAGGACCTAGAATAAGCCGACCTTATTTATTGTAGTGAGGTAAGAGCCCCTCTCCTCCAAGAGGCCAGTTTCCAGGTGGACATGCAGACTCGGCTATAAACCTGACCTATATCTATCTTCTTTTTTTCATTTTTTTTTTACTGTAATATAAACCAGACATATCTATTAGGTTGAGTCATAAATGATTTCCGTTTTTTGTTTATCAACGATTTGCTTTGTTCTTCTCGCTAACAGCGTGTACAATCCAAACATCCAGCTTACTGACATCCCAATCTTTTCTAAGTGTCGGCATATGTTAGATTGTGATGTCTTTGACGCCTTTGCTAATTCCCGTGTATTTCACCATGGACTGTTTTCCACGAATTATTTCAGAAGACCATCATCAAAATTCGATAAACATCACAGTCTGCTTTCATCTTCAAATGACGTTCCTCCAGAAGGAAATTTCGACAAACCAATTTCATATTTAAGGGTCAGCCATGACTCCTTAACCATAAACATGATCTATTTTTCTAAATGCCTATTTCCTTGCTTGAACTCCCATAACATTATGCAAATGCACTTTCTGTCGCTCTATTCGTGAGGCTAAGAAATTTTTCCATTAATCCACTTTGTACGCTGCCATGCAAAAAAGGTATATACGTCTATTGTTAACTGCCAATGTTGATTAGTAATTAGGACGATACATTGGTTATTACAATTACTTATGATTTAACCTTTCAGTTTTTTTATATTATTTTTTTCTAGTATAAACCAGACTGCCTGTTCATTCTTTTTCTTGTTTGTTCCATAAAACTTATATTCGACATCAGATATAAAAAAAAAAGTTTTATATAGTTTTATTATTTTTTCTTCTTCTGTCCCTTCAAAATGTGAGGAACATGACTTCTTATCTTTTGTAGCTCTTAATATGGTTTCTCTTCTCACTATCCTCTCCATTCTCTGTTCTGTCATCCATTTACACGAGCTTTTTTTTTTTTTTAAATCGGAATCACGCCAAGCAAGGCAGCAATGCCAATAAAACACATGAGGTTACAAAGTGTGGAAGAATTAGGAACAGAAACATTAATGATGAGCAAAAAGAAAAGAGAGTAATCAGATGGACAACTTATGTAAATTACTCGCTGTTTCCCTGTCCTTCATGCATTCTGTATGTCCTGTGGGTGTCATATTTCTCAAGCCTTTTTCCTCATTATGCGTCCTAGAAATTTCAGCTGTTTCTTTCTTATTCTAAGTACAAGTGTCCTTTTAGCTGCCATTTTCTTTAAAACTTCGTTACTCACATGGTATTCCCAGCATCCTTCTGTAAAACCACATTTCTGTTTCCTCAAGTTTAATCTTAATCTGTGTGAAGATTGTCCATCATTCACTGCTATATAGGATGATTAGTTCATCACTTTTCTTTGCTTCTATCAAACTTTGTTTTAAATATTTTTCTTAGCTTCTCACAAAATTAAAAAATGCCTTCAATGTTTTTGGGGGGTTTAGAAAAAATTGTACGTTTCTCAGACATCATGGCATACTTCTGGTCCTACTTCTTGTAGTACAGTGTAACCCGGATATAAGCGACCCGGATATAAGAGAAACCCGGATATAAGAGATTTTCTCTGGTCCCAAATTAGAGCCTGTGTTAATGTATATAAAATAGACCAAACCCAGATATAAGAGAAACCCGGATATAAGAGAAACCCGGATATAAGAGAAACCCGGATATAAGAGATTTCTTCTCCGGTCCCGACAACTCTCTTATATCCGGGTTACACTGTACAATGATCCAGTAGTGTCCAGTAGATCACTCTTTGTACATTACTTTCCTATCTAACAGGTGCGGGGGAGGGCTGATAATTTCAGGCTGTCTTTATATTTATTTCTGATGAAACAAATTTTGACACATGGCCGAAAAGGGGGAGGGGGACAGGTTGGTCATCTTTAGCTATCTTAGTCCTAGTTATTCCGAATCACGACCCATTCATTCATTACAATTTACTCATTCACCCCAAGAACTTATCCATCAACTCTCAATCCTACATACACCAAAATACCACATATTCACATGGGACCTATAAAACACCCCATGACATAAAAATTCGGAAGTCCATAAAATCCAAAAGTATATAAAAATTTCATGATACATGAAATGATGGGATGGGATGAAACCAGAAAACAAACTAAAAATATAAAACAAATAAAACTAAAAAGAAAACAAATGCTAGGAGGACTCACCCACCCCTCAAAATAATAATTTCAGGCTGTCAGTACTGTACTAACACAGTATTTTCTGTATTAGTAGTAAAACAAAAATGGGTAGTCGGCAAGAATAGTTCACATTTTGGGCAAGTCTATTTTGTTCCCTTTCACACAATTGCCCTTGAGAAAGGCACGAATATGTGTCTTCTCCCCCAGTTAAATAGCTGGACAGGTTGGATTTTTTTTTTATCTTTGTAGGGAAATGATTTTAGAAGGATAATTAAATTCAAAAAATTAAAGTTATTTGGCCCTAGATACGGCTGCTGTTACGGTTGCAGTATATGTGATACCCCAACTACTCTAATGGCTTACGGGACATTGTGCACGTGAATGAGACTTAACGATATTGAATAAGATATCTTTTTAATAAAAGAAAGGATTTTTTTTTTATTCTGGTGGGTATCACCAACGTGGTACTGTCGATAAAACTATAACCTCCAAAGATCGTAGTACTATGTTGTTTTACACCTACAAAATGGCTTCACTTGCGAACTTATTTAAACTCGATCAACTTATGTTAAGGGATCGTATCAAAATAGCGTCCTGAGTTTAATAAACTCGCCGACAGTACGGGACAGGCTGGCTCACCATTGCACTTCGGCAAATGTCTCTGTTACTGTCACAAATGTATCTCTAATCCGTTTTTTCATAGGCAGTTACAGATTGTTATGTGTGGCGCGTTTCTATTCATCTGCTCGTCACACTCTGACGACGCAACGAATCTAATGGATTACGTCATTTTAGCAAAGAGTTCCGCTTGCTTAATTAATGCTTTCATCTTTATTTTGGTTTTTCTTTGTCTGTTTTTTTTTTTTTTTTATCTTCGCATACACACCACAAACAATGTTTCCCGTCAGTCAACCGACCGCCAAAGATTCAATTGGCGCTTTCCCCCATGTTCCTTGAACAGGAATTATGGTGGTGGTGGCGGCGTGTACAGATTAACCAGAAAGGCTTGATTATACCCCTCCACCTACCCAGGAAATGATAACTAGTATTAAATAAAAGAGATTGCTGATGACTGTTGGTGATTTGTGGTCATTTTAGTCGAATAACGAGTTTTCTTATCTATTTTAGGCTATAATATAAAACAATATGGCTT